GGCTTTTGCTTTCCCTATTAAACTGTCTTTACCTCAACCTACGAGTTTTCTCACTTTTACCCTTCTGATTCTCTCCCCCATCCCACCAGGGGGGAGTGAGCGAGCGGCTGTGTGGGGCTTAAATTGCCAGCTGGGGTTAAACCACGACACTCAGAAAGTCACGTCTGCCAAATCTCACTGACTTTTGCCCCAATTTTTATATACTTTATACCGTAAGAAAGTTGGAGAACTGAAAGATTGAAAAAGCACCCCAGTGTATGGAACAAAAATGAACCTCGAGAGATTAAAAGAAGGGGGGAGAGTGTGTTATTAGAATATATGAGAGAGAGCACGCGAGAGCGAGCAAGCAACTCTCTTATTTGTCCAGGCTTTACGCAGCCTGTAGGACAGAAATGGGGTGCAGACACTTAACACTTGTTCCTGCTCAAAGAGGAAGGCAGGAGTTTGAGAGGGAAGGAGGAATAAGACATCATCAGACTGCTGTTTCACAGGCTGGAGTGTGTTTTGACTGTTTTGCACATCCCTGTTCCTAGACCTGGCAAGATGAAGACGAGAGGCAACCCAGCTACAGGAAAGGAGACTTCTTCCATTTTAATTGGATAGCAAAACAGAGGATTGAGAGGTAAGATTTCAGAGAGAGACGTGACTTCAAAATCCTTGCTAAAAACTTTTTAAAATCAATTTGCTTGTAAGACAAAACAAGCATTGGGGGTGCCCTTGGCTGGCCTCGGTCCAAAGCTATGGAAGGCTGCATGTTAACATAGGACTTTTCTTCACCGAGCCAGCCCTCTGCAAACACACCATCCAGGTAGACATTACACCTTAGAGCACCGCACGCAGAACAAAGCGATTCATTTTTGCTACCTACATGCTCGAAGGACTAGACTGCAGGCTATGATCTAGTATTAAAAAGCTTGGTATCATCTATTTTCTCAGCAAGAAACAAAACAGGACAAATCCCGTAAACAATGCAGAGAATGTTTAAATATTGTAGAGTTTTAAGTGTAACTTGGACGAGGTTGAGCTCAGGTCTATGGAGAAAGGCTCCTAAAGGCTGCTTCCATGTGCGCTGAGCACTGGTTTGTATGCGCCGGTGCATGCACAAGACTAAACGGCATGTTGGACATGAACAGATTTAAATGCCATTTACTGAGTTTGGCTCTATGTGCATTACTTTTTCTGAAGGTAAGATACAGACAGAGGGAAACCAGTAAGTGTCTCCGAATCAAATCAGAGCTACTTTCCTGTAAATCTCCAAAGAGCATATGCCAAAAAGTAAATGAGTATCAGCTGTGATTCTCCTACAATAGGGAGACACACACACAATATTAAATAGAGGATTTGTGCTAGGATTTAATATACTCTGTCTTCCAGTATTCCAAGCACATCTGATTTTGTTGGAAGGTTTTCCAAATAGAAACATGACACTTTCACTTATTGCATTTCATTTAAATTTTGCAGAATACTAACGAATACATTCTTAATTACGAAGACTCAATGTTCAACATATACAAGTATCACAGAATTTTCTCTAAGGTAAGCTCATGTATCTCACTAGAACCTGTTGTGAGGAAAAAAAACAGCGTCAGTCTTAAGAAAACTGTATAGCTATATGTAATTACAAATGGGTGTTAAATTAACTGTATTTTTTTGGCTGCCACTACCTACTCAGTGTTGACATACGTTGTTTTATATGCACAGTTCTTGACACAAAACATTTAATGAAAATATTTTCCAAAGATACAAAGCATTTGTAAGTATTGCAGTTGTGCTACCAAATACATTCAGCAGGGCACAGGGAGACAAAAGTGATGTATCTTGGCAAACAGCAGCAGGCAGACTTACCGCGTCACTCTCTGAGATTCTTTGGAAATGATTCTGCTCTTCCAACCGCTACCCCTTCTAACCCATCTCCCTTAAGTCTGTGCATTTACTTCACCGTACTTCCAACTTCTGATGTAGTATTGTTTTGCCAAAAAATCCTGGGAAAGGGCAGTTGCCTATGTGCTGGCCAGAGTCCATCAGAGCCAATGATAATTAGCTGCTGATTTCATCAGCCTTTGGTCTCAGAAATGCATCATTTTCCAGAAAGTGTTTGAAAACACTTTCTATTAATTATATAGTAAAATGATGTAATTTAGTAAAATGATGTAATTTAATAATATTATTTAGACTGTAGACTCTTTGACAGAAATCTTTTTTCACAACATGAACCTGCGAAGATACTCTTTGATTCTGTCTGAATTTTGACTGAATTCAGAACACATTCAAATAACAATAATTACCATTCAGCTTTTACTACAAGCACACGTTTCCTACCAGTATGCCACTTTGGATAAAACAGAGGCAAGTGCTAAGCCATGTGGGCATCCAGGGCTTTGACTGGCTGCTTGCAGTGCTGAGCCCGTCAGTGGCTTGCAGTGACCCTTTATTGTTTCAGTTATTCTGATTTCTTGCATGCGTCTAACTTATGGTATGGACAGTGTGGCTGAGACATGAACACGCTTCCCTATGCACTTACCTTAGCTAAACTGCAGCTGCTCCCTTCTCCACCCAGCACAGCAATGAATTCATCACTATTCCCACTGCCAGCAAATGGATCTGCCTCCAACTCACCTCCAGCCTTCTATTTTTGGGGCAGCCCACTCTAAACCTTGCCAAACGTGAAATTGCTAAGGACTGTGCAAAATTAACCACAGGCATTGGACTGTTAAAAGTTCAACCAAATAAAACCCTTGGGAGACTTGAACCAAAAATCACCAAAAATAGCTGGGTTTAGAATGGTTTCAGACAAAAGCGTCTATTGGTGCACGGTGCACCAGGGAATGCTGCCCCAAGGAGGGAGGTGTCAGTGTCAAATGCAGGTTGTTGAAACGACTCCATCCACCTTTACATATCCTGGTAACTGCAGGTCTCCCGAAAATGCTGTCAGCTGGCAGCCTGGGAGATGGAGGGCGCCCAGCTTGCTGTGTACTAACACCACAGGTAAGCAAAGGCTCTAGGTTCTTGCCCTCCCTTGCTGTTACGCCTCCCTCCCCATTACGCCTCCCTCCCCAACCTGTCTGGCCAGCCTGTCCCACGGGCCAGCTCTTCTGTGGGTATTTGCCCACAGGGAAGTTTATCAAGACTACTAAGGCATTCCCCACGGCCCAGTTAGCACCTCTGCAGGGGATGGTAACTTTGGAAATATTGCCCTATAGGTTGATTTCGCTTTCCATAATACAAGTATTTGCAGTGTATTTTAAAGGCGTACATGCAAAAACCAAGAGCTCTGTTTTGCCCTTGTTAATTAAGGCAGAAGTTAACAGCATCATCAACACCGTTCCTTCTCCGCAGCCCAAGGACAGCTACAACACCAAAGCTTTGGCCGCAGTGGCGGTGATCCCTTGTGAAATGACATTTCTTGCCCATACGGCTGCTGCCTAAACACAAGCCATGTATTTATTTCTGCTGCCATCCACCTATCTGTCCAGTTATCTTCTTTTGTTTCATATGTTTAATTTTAAACCTAATGTCAAAACTCTGAGTATAAAATGAAATACATTTTGTTTAAAATACTCTGGGCAATTTTTATAGAACATCCTTTCGAAAAAAAAAAGTGCAGAGATCAATTTTTTTAAGTCCATCCCGCAGGCACCATCATTTAATTATGAGTGAGACATAAATTATGCATTTACACATTGTTGCATTTTCTATAAAATGGTGTGGAGATTTTTTTTTTGTAGTTTTTGGAACTCTCTCTTTCTTCCCGGGGGCACTTTGGAGGAAAAAAAAAACCTGCTGCAGGCTATACATTGATGAAAAAATTAGCATTTATCAGTATAACACCATTATGAGACCAGCATGGCACTAACATACACAAAATCTAAATCTATTTTTCTGCTTAGACTTAGGAAAACCTGAAAGACTGTGATCTCACCAGGCAGAAAACGTCTCCTTGCAGTATAAGCACTGAAGGTAATTGGGCAGAAGCAAATAATTTGCATATACTTGAACAAGAAATAATAAAAAAACACCCCAGCAAATAGATGAGCCAGCACCAAAAGGCCATTACCTGCACTGAATTCAACCGGCAGTATCCGTTCAAAGGAAACCTAATAACGTGGGTAGGGTCCTGGTTCCAGCCTGCGTTTACGGAGTTGCACATGACGTCCCCGGTCTCCGGGAAGATCTCTTCTATTAAAGCTTTCTCCCCGCTCAATGCAATCCTTTCCCCCAGATCTGGAGTCACTCTTACGACCAAGCAGTCACAAGGCTGGAAATGTTTCCTTTGTTCTTTCTCTTGTTTCCATCGCTCAAGTTCCTTAATCATTGGCTGCAGCTGGTAATACTTTGCTTCTTCATATAAAAGATTAAAGTCCTGGGAAAAAAGAAGAAGAGAGAGGGAGAGAGAGAAACTAGAAATGCTTATAGTTCTCTTCTAAAAATGAGTATTGTTCCTGTTTGACCTACTTAGGCTTATGCATTGTCAGCAAGAGTGCAAAGGCAACAGGTATCCACATACTTTGTCTTCGTCTGACACCTACACAGAAAACCACACTGTTAGTGTTGAATCTATTTGAGCTGACCATGAAGTTCCCATTGCACTGAATTATTCTTTCATTTATTATCGCACAAGCTCAATGCCAGAAGGATTTACTTTTGGATTAGGAAATCAAAATAACTGGCTGCAATAAGCAAAGTCTGCTGATGTAAGAGGAGATGTCCTGAGCCCTAATCTTCACTCTTGGCCTCAGATACTCACTTCTGATCTTACAACAGAAGATCTTGGGCTTCGCTGTCACCTCTCGCACACATGCTACGAGATGGAGATGTCAGTTCAACTTCACTTCTCACCTGTCTTTGCCGAGTCTGAAATTCAGCTGCAGCAGCTCAGCTGCTCCCTGTGTTTCATGATTATTTATGTATTTAAGGTGTACTTTGCAGCCTGGTAAATTATATGGAGGTAGTGACCATCCCACTGGCTGGGAGCTCAGCTGTGCACTCCAACAACTTAAAAGAAACAGTTCTTCCCAGCCATTTGTCCATCACCTCACTTGGGCTTTGGGCAATTCAAATTCTGAATTTGATCCAATTCCCAGTTCATTGATTGAGAAGTCTTCTGCACATCCTCATTAATAACTTTACATCAGATTTCCAACAGATCTTCCCACCTCAGCTTAAATGCATGACAGTACGTTGAGGCACAGGGTGTCAGCAGCCCCCCAGACCGAAGGAGGCAGCACTGCCCACGAGACCAAGCCAGAGAAGAAAAGGAGGGGGAAGCACCCAGGGACAGTTTGCTTACACGAGCCCCACTGCCTCCTTCAGCCTCCTGAAGGGAAGAGGAGCAACAAGAGCACAGCACCAGGTCCTCTCTCCAAAGACCTGCCGTTTGCTTTCCTGGCTCTTATGCCTGTTTACAGATGGAAATGCTGCATCACAGGTACGCTATGTGACTTTTGTGGAGTATGCTGTAGGTCAACACCTGGACATAAAGGCCAGTTCTCCACCGCTGCAATGAAATGAAATGAAAAATCACAAGAGTGAAATGACTGGAATGATTTAGGCTGGAAAGAAGGGCATGACAAGAAGTAATCAAGAAATGGGCACCAAAATTACATGAAAAATAATGGCAGCGCTGCTGCTCCAGGACTCGGGGAAGAGGGGGAATCAAAGGCCAATGAACGTGCAGCACAAAAAGGTGCAACTCTTCATAGCGGCTTCGAATTAACCTGTAAAATCTGCTCCTGCAGGGTATTATTGAACCAAAGCAGTTAGCTGTGTTCAAATTTGGCACCACAGACCCACCGCCGGTAGTGGAGGGGTGCTCCTTCACCCCAGGGCTGCCTACGGCCTGGAGATGTATGAATATTCACAGTGACACCGGCAAGGTTATCACCTTACAAAAGGGACATCCGATCCTTTACATCTCTTTGATGTCTATTAAGGCTGGGACAATATGCGCATCACTAAGGGAGGAAAAAAGGCCCATAGAAAGAGAAAGAGTGATAACAGCAAGTGGGAAGAAATGAGGGCAACGCACACACTCACGGGAAGGAGACGGAAGATGAAAAACAACAGGAAGATTAAAGAAGCAGCCTCGTCCCCTGATGGAAGGTATTTTCCCCCCCTCCCCAAAATCAGCACTCTGCTGAACCATTACTGCTTTTCTCTATCCACCAGTGAAGGTCCCTGGTTATTGAGCATGGGATTAGTGGCCTAAATTAAAAAACAAGCCCTGCCCCAAACTTTCTGAAATCTTCTTCATGCGGGACACTGGAGCCATACAGTCCACCGCTTAACTGCAGTTATTACAGAGGTGTGTGCAGGGGGCTATCAAACGTTCACTAGTCATCTGCTGGTCCCACGTGTCTCTTTTCTGAGCAAGGAAAACATGCAATGCTAAGGAAAAACATGATGGAATGCTGTAGAGTGAACGTGAGCATCCAGTGCTTACTGAAGGCAACGGAAAGTCTCCTGCTGTTTTCAATAGGTCCTGAAAAAAACAGTTTTACAATATCTGTGTTCATGGTCACTATAAAATAACATATTATTTGTAAGGTAAATCAATTGAATATGTGCTAAGAAAACTCAATAGTAAAACACAGAAAAGGCGGTACAACCATATAAAAACCAGTCCTTCATTTCTGAAAGTAAAGAGAGGTACAGTGCTCCTGAGGCTGGATGCAAAGCCCATTACATTCATGAGAGTCTTCTCGACTGACTTCACTGGGCTTTGGACTAGGCTAACGGTATCCTGAATCACGGGAGTTCAATGGTCCAGCACCCCCAGGCCAAAACAGTAATGCCATAAAGCACACAAAAGCAGGATCACACCACCTCTACCTCCCCCACAGCCAGCTATTAGCCCACCGCATCAAATGCAGCTCTTTAGTGACTCCTGCTAGCCATCATTTGTCCTAAATAAACTAGATAAATTTTATATTCTGATATCATTTTGTGATAAGACAACCAGTTTTCAGACAAAACAGCTCTTCTACTACTGTTCCAAGAATGATACAGCCATACTTCAGACAGCCGTGTGGAAACCAGAGCTGTGCTGGAGCATCATGTGCTCAGTGGGATGCACCCAGTCATAAACTGCCTGGGTTAAGCCAAGGTGCTTGGGTTAGTTTTAAAAATAAGACTGTCATCTCCATGTCCATTCCACACTTGGGTTGAGCACAAATATGCTGGAAAGGGTTTTGCACCTGGAGGATGGGGTTTGTAACAGAATCTGGGAATCTGGGAATCTGAGGCATGCTGATGCAAAGAAGCAACACGCACGTGCAGTGTTAGGGAGTCTGGGCACCTGCCTATCATCAGACAGTGGCAATAAAGGGAATCTGTTATGCTGTAACAAGTAGAGGGGATAGAAAAGCGTCTTCTGCTAGGAATGGCAGGAGAAAATTCATGGCTGTCCACCAGTGACAGCACTGGGAAGGGACACCTTCCGTGACCCCCGACTCTGCATACTGCACACTGCCCCAGACCAGCCACCACCAGCACAGCCTGCCCCACCGCCCTGACCTGCTCTGGCTCCTGTAACAGGAAATCTGGCGTTTCTGCACCAAGTGACTTGGGCACCACTATGAAATTTGACAACGGGAGGGAAGAGGATTTTGCAAAACCAGGAACAAAGAATGAATAGTTCACAGCGTGGGGGTCCAGTTCTCTAAAGCCTGTGCTTGGGCAGGGAAATGGACTCAACACACCGCTAAGTACATGATTTTCTTGTGCGGGTTTTATACACCATTCAGAGTACTGTGTGGCTGCAACCAGACTGGAGGCGATGCCCAGCTCTGGATCGTCTACACAGGATGCTCAGGATGCCCAGGTAATACCGACATAGGTATTTCCACCCTTGCACCGTAGGTATAAAATCCTACCCTGATGATTTGCAAAAATTTAACATGAAATATGAAGTAGAAGAATTCAACCCACAAGGGACCTCGCCAGGGAGGTGCCACAGGAGCTGCAAGAAAACATTTCTATGCTGCTCATTTTGGTAAGTTACCAAAGGCAGATGCAGACACACATCTTCCTAGACCTATCCAGAAGAGGCACATTTCGCTGAAACAAGTACAGGAGTAGCTACAGGGTGTTAAGTGCCCAGCACAGTGGCAAAGTGCACACAGTTTCATTGAAACTCAGCCTCAGAGCAGCCTGGTAGTTTCTGTCCCAGGCATGTGCTGATAAATGCATACAGATACTGCACCCTCTCTCTCACGGCTCCAGCCCTGGCATCAGTGCAGAGTTGCTGAGCAGCAGGCAGCATCCCGCAGCAGATTTTCTACAGTATCCAGGAGTTCCTTGTCCTGCAGGACTAATGATGCATCTCCCATTTCTTCTAAGGATTATTTCCCTACCTTCCCAACTTCTTAACAGCAGTGTACCTTGTGGCAGCACAGCCCAGAGTCAAGTACTGTTGTGTTCAGCGAAGGAAAATTGCTTTACTCCGAAGGTGATTCCCACCAGCCAAGGTCTCTGCTCACAAGCAGGGTGCTCCTTGCTAGACTGAAAGGAGAGATGGACAGTCCAGCCTCTGATTTTGCTGTGAAGTACCACAAAAAGCCTTCATGAGCTACCAGGAGCCTTCAACTTCTTGTGGCTGTTGTAGGAACAGGTGGGGAAGTTCTGGAAAAGGGAGCAGATAGCCAGGTGGGATGCACACAGCCTTTCTCCATCCACAGCTTCTGGACAACATTTAGATCTCATGGGAAAGGTAAACAGATCTTTCAAAGATGCAGCTTTTTGCCTTTCACAAAATAATTTTCTGCTCATGATTTGGTAGAAAAGCTTTTTTTCTGGTGGATTTCACGTTGGCTGAATTCTGCAGTCACCTCTGACAAGGGTGACATCTTCCTGGGGAGGAGACAGGAGGCATGACTGCAAGGCCAGTTCTGCTGCTGTTTTGACATCAGTGCCAGTGGGTCAGTAAAGATCTGCTAACTACAGGCAGAGACAGCCAACAGAAACTGTAAAACCATGTCTCCCGTGAACCTGATGCTGATCTCTCAATACTAAAGAGGTCCTTTATTTTTGTACCTAATGTTGACTCCTGAACAGGCTGAAATGGCTCTTTCTGTCCATTTTTCACTTGTTATTCTTTGTTACATGAAACAACAAACTGTCGTCATGACTCAACGTTTCTTTTATATTTTAGTGCTGTGAAGATCTGACTCCTGGCTACGAGAGAAAGTTGCTCACTTCTACAATGACAACTGCACCATTTGCTAAGGTCAGTTTGAGAGCACTTAAAATTAGATGCAAGCACACTAATTTTAAAACGATATTAATAAATTAGCCTGCCAGCCTTGTGGTTCTGGTGCTACAGGTGACCTCTATAATCTGTATGAAATTCAGATGTCCTGTGCATTTGTGCTCCTCCCCTCCTTAAGATGGAGTAATAACATACACGTTGCCTACGTCTATTTTTGTTTGATGATCTCTAAGCAGGGGGTGAGTCTCAAATAAGTAGGTATGATGGGTCCTGGTTTTGCATGAAGTTATGTGTTGGCAGTGAAGGGGACAGATGCTCCTCATAAATGTCCTGGGGAAACACCTCTGATGGTGGGGGTGATCAAGGCAGAGAATATTTGGGCTGCAAGGCAGGGGCAGCTCCTGCGCCAGCCACCCGCTAACCCAGCAGCGTGGCAGACCGGGGGTTGCTGGCTCCACACTCTGCTGGAGGACTTTTGTTGCTCAAGGTGTCGTGGTCCCACGTGTGGGACTGAACTGGTGCAGTAAGGGGGAGCTGTAAGCAGCTCCGGGCTGCTTGCCATCGCCTCGCTCAGCACAGGCTGGCTGCAAAGGAGAACTGAGCCAAACAATTCACAGTAATTTCTCAGCATACTTCATGTGGCTTAAAATCCCCCAAACCCAGGAAAATTATATGTACTATTAGAGTGTTGCTTTCAGTGGGGAGACCTGTCAGATACTAAACGCTTTCAAGTTCTGGCTTATTAGTAGTTGGAAGTGTAATTAATATTCACTGTAAACACACCAGTCAGGCTTGATAATAAAGAATCACTAGCCCAGGAACACATACCCCACTTTCTCTGCATTTCAGTGTTAACTTAGTCTGAAAACAACACTTAAATAGCAAACACAATAATGCTGGTGCAGTACTAACATTCCAAACTTTCCAAAATAACCATCTGAGCAGCAATTCAAGTTGAAAAGCAACTTGGCTAAACCTTGAGGCTAATAAACTGCTTGATTAAATTAAGGGGTAAAAACTAATAAATATTCAAAACACTTGATAATTCTTTGTTTGACATAAAGAACATTTAATGCAAGTCTCACTGGAAAACCTGTCAGGTTTTATACCTTAAATAGAGTTTTGCATTTAGAAACACTGAGCGATTCCATTTGCTGCCTTTGATTATTGTCTTCTGTCACTTTAATCACGCTGGTAAAATTACACAATTTCTGTGAAGTCAAATCCGTTTACAATGCAGTTTTAATATAGCTTTGCAGCGCATTCTTCTATGCATTTTTATTTAGTTACTCCCTACCTAGCAATACTTTGCTTTGTTCTTGAGCCCTCATTAGCCTGGGGTTTGCTCTAAAGCTCTCCCAGGGAGGAACTAACTAAAATACAGTTAACCCTATGCAAAGAGATGGTCTGGAACAACGGACTGAGCCTGGGCACAGCGCCGGCTCTCCTGAGTCTCTCCCAGCCCTGCCAGCGGCTCGCTGCGCAGACAAGTCCTTGGCATCCACCAGCACTCTCACCTCCAGGCTCTTACTGAATCCTGCTGGTTTTGTTTCACAGCACCTCTGAAATCTGGATGCCGGTCGAGGCCATGATCAGCTCGAACGAACTACATCTCTTCTACCCTCTCTTCTCATGCCTTCTTGTCCCACCAGATTGTCTAAAATGCTGCCACTAAAGCATCTCTCTGGCATTTCACCTGTACCGCTTCTCCATCCACCCCCTTTTACTTGATCCATCTTACAATCCACAGAACTGGTCTGGTCTTTAGCTTCACTCCTACCTGTGCGTTTTCTCTCACTTCTCTGTAAAAAGCTTTTTTCACATCCACCCCTTCGTGCTCTAGCTCTCGCCCTGCTTCACGGCACCCCAACCTGCAGGCCAGCCTCCCCGACCTGCCCACCGCTCCCCAGAAAGACCAGCTCAGGACAGCCCTTCTGGGCTGGAGCTCCAAAACCACCTGTGAAAAACTTCTCCCTGCCTTGGACTAGATGTGTGCTCCCATCACACAGTGCATCTGCTCAACATCAACTGTAAACGCTCCCATGTCAGGGTCAAATACGATTATACTCGTAACTTAGGCAAGAATGGCTGAGGAGCGGTTTGCAGCATGAGGATCAGCTGTACTCCAAAGCTAAAGCCACTACAGCAACCAGAAATCTGGACTGACTCAGTAATGACTGGCCAAATTATCTTGCCTACCTAGTCCAACATGCAAAGTGAAATCTTACTGCATGGCGCGGGAACCTTCCTCTCCAGCAACGCTCCATGTCCTCTAACTCTGAGCAGATCCCCATTGCCATCCCAATTTAGTCATCATTTCATCCTGGAGTTAGTGCTTTTGTTGAATCTTGTCATCTACAGTTTGGACACTTTTGTCTTCTAATTTTCATACATAAGGATGACAATGTTGCAAGTTTCGTAAGTGCAAAGCCAAATAAACAAGGCTAGGAGGACAATCAGGATTTGCAAAGTAACAACCAGCGCCATTATTTCATAGAAAACATGTATTGCTCCTTAAAAAGCCCTCAGTAAATTCCATCTCCCAAGAATATTTTGACATTCATAAATTGTGTAAAAGATTACTTCCTGAAATCACAGTATCTGCATCGGTTATATCTAACACAAATCCTCATGGGCTTGTTTAAGGGTGTTTCTTTTTTATACCAACAAGAAAAAGATTTATACAATTTAAGCCCTCTGAGTATCAAATTTAAAACATTTCTTTCAGATTCTAAGCATTAAACCCTGGTAAGTGCTAGTTGCTGATGTTGCTTCTTAATTGTTGTTGCACCCTGATAAATAAGCTAAAAATGTGAGAAAATACAATTAGTTTAGAAAAACTGATTTAGCCGTAAGCTTCATCGTTTAACTTTTTATGGTATCCATGACAACCATTGGTCCATTTATTAAATAATAGCATCCCTGGTGTAATACACAAGTACTAAAAATCCTAACAATAAACAGCAACATTTAGTCAAGTGTGTTTAGGTCAAGCACACAAACCAACCTGCACCAAAACAAAATGACAGAATGGGAGGAAAAAATGGATTGCAGCCTATAGCTTTCCTTACCTTAAAGTCATCTGGGAGCAGTAGCTTAGATGTCCTTAGGAAGCTTAATATGTATCTGAAAATTTCACCATCTCGATCAATGAAATAATGTTGTTTTAAACTGTCCAAGACAATAGGCTCTGTGCCATTAAACAGACGACTTATTCTGAAAAAAGAAAAGAAAAAGAAATGGGCAAAAGAGACAAAATCTCACTACACCCTCAGGGCTGAAGAACATCCAGCCAATTGAGTTGCATCAATTCAATGTGCATAAGGTGACACAGTATTTGGTGACAAACAAGTGCACAAAGATAGATGCCTTAGACATGTGTGTGCACCTGCACACTCACACACACAGAAGTGCGTGTGCACATGCAGACAGAGGCACACACACCAGCAGTGAGAGCCCTGCAGCTGCTCTAGGGCTAAGCTCGCGCTGCCCTGAATCAGGGCTGCGAATTAGGCCCATGACCCTGACAAGGAAAGAGTAATTTTGGTGAGAACATGCATCACCGGTTCCATTATACATCCCTGTCCACTATGTCCTGCTAACGGAGAACCGAATGGTTACTTGGAGATGGGTTCCTGGCCATGAGCTTTTCCTCCAGCTTGGCTGTCATTTTGATCAAACACCATCGAAGCCCTTCCATGCTAGAGGAGAGGCTGTCCATACACCGAGATGAGCTGTATGGACCTGTCAGTGCTGGGTAAGTGGCCATCCAATGCTGAATGTTTTGGCAAACCAGCAACCAATGGCCCATGCAGCATCTGCAGCACTGCCTGTGGGACCACAGTCCCACCACCAGTAGTCCTGGGGATCAGAGTCTGGCAGAAGAAAGCAACATGGCAAATCTTTCATGAGCAAAGAAAAGGAAGTGAGACCTATGAGACTGGGGGATCAGCTGGTTACAAGACCAAAATACCGCATCAGCTACATCACTCCAGCTTTTTCCATGTCCCGAGGAGCATGCTCTGCAGAAAGCAAACCGGGCATCTGCCTGGCTGCCGTTCCTCCCGCCTCTCCCCTCCAAACGCCTGGCTTCTCTCAGAACGCTTTGTCTTCCCATGAGAAATAACCCAGCTGAATATATGTTCTTGAAAGGAAAATCGCAGGAGACAGACAGCAACGACCTATTAAGTAATTGAGTCCATCTCTCTGACAGTGCAGCATTGTTCCCAACTGCAGTGTCTCGTGTTTCAAAGTCGAGTCTTAAATAACCCCACCAGTGAGGAGGACTCCATTTCCCAGAGAGACTATCCCGCAGCCTGCTAGATTTCACTGTCAAGCCGTCTCTTTGACTCGGCTATGCAATCCCCCTGTGTCCCTCGCTGTGACCAGGGCAGGGCTTTCCTCTGCCGTGGGGAACAAGCTCACCAAACCCTGCCAAAGGCAATGGCCAGCACTGCTGGCAAATGCTGCAGCCGCAGCCTCGCTGCCTCCCTCCTTCCAGCATCACCACCCCACCCCAAGATTTCTGGCCCAGCAGCAGCATGGGAGAGACCTCAGCCTGGCTGGGGAAGGTGCACGCCCACCCCGGGGATGGGAAGGGGCAGGTTTGCTTCCCTGCCACCGCCCACAGTGCTGGTGCTTCTGGCTGCACCCCGCTCCGCTTGCTTTGGGTTGTGGGTTCATGCAACACAGCGAGATTTGCTCTCCACAGCTGCACCTCGGTCTGATCTTCTAACTTGCTAATTTAGTTGCAAATTTAATTAACATGTCTTTTATTTCTAAATTAACTGTGGAGATATTAAATAAAACTGGACTTAGCAAGTCCCCACTGAATTCAGCTAAAAACCTTTCTGCCCTCTTAAGCAAGCTCCAGGTTTTACTGCCTGCTCTTGTGTCCGTGTCATCATTCAGCTAGTCTGAGTTACTTATGAGAATAAGAAAATGCTCCCCTAAACCCTAATTATAATACATTTACTGTTTTCCTTCAACCTCTAGCTTTTCAACGGTATAGAAAACACCATCCAGCTCACGCTGCAACGTTTAATTTATATAATCCCAAGGTTCGGTAAGCCTCCAGTAATGCACATTATTTTCTTTTTCATTGTTATTTTAGGGCTGTTTGCCTGAGACAGTTAAATATATTGCTTTGTACAGTGTTAAATTTTATTCCAGGAACTAGACAGTTAATTTATTTCCTTAGACATGCACATGAGCCAGTGTGCTGTGCTGGGTTAGACTGAAAGCAGAGGAAACACTGAGAGAGCAGCTTAAGGTTCCGTACGGTACATTTATTGAGTACATTTGCATGCCTATTGAAAGTTTTGAGATCTTACACCTAAACAAGCTGGGCTGTGGCTTAAACCTCCTCCCCTTTGCTGCCCTTTCTCTGTGAAGTCTGCTAAAGCAACACGCCGGCTGCTGTTCAGCTCTGCCGCATGTATGGGGGAAGGTTTGCCAACGACAGGGCACAGGGAAGACAGGGTACAAAATTTTAATGGGTCGCTCTTTAATGTAGTGAAGCATTTTTTTGGTAATGAAAACAAAACATGAATTTTGAGGCCTTTGTAGAGTGCCCTCAGCTGTATTTCGTCACCAGCGAAATTAGTGCTGGGGAAAGAAACTTGCAGAGTGTTGAAAGACTTAACTGCCACCCCAAAAACAGTGTGATGAATAGTTCAGGGATTTATTTGACGTTTTAGGGGGCTGCTATGTTCCAAGAACCAACTTCACTGCAGCATGTTGTAACACTGCGTGCGGAAAGCACTCCTGCTTCTCACTACTATAAACCGTACCTGTAGGAAGTCCATCAGAAAACGTAACGCTCTGAGAGCACAAAGTGAACTCAAATGGCAGCTTTGAAAGGAAAATTCGCCTGACAGGGTTACTCATCATGTGTGAAGCCATGGAAAAGAGCACAGTGACCAGGGGCAGCTCCACAAGCCCCACCGGGACCTAATGTGCTCAGCGAATGGGTCTTGGGTGGCCAGAACAAAACGCCACGCACAGAAGTGTGGAAGAAAAATGCGCACAGGCTGTCAGAGAGCCAGGAAGTCAGCAAGTGCAAGGCGATGGGAATGGTTTTGCACTGTGTAAACTTGTTGATGTTCAATCAGAAATTAGGTACCAGTCTGGCTGGCAGCCTTAGGAAGCTGCTCCCTCCAGCGTCCTGCCATGTGATGTGAGTTAAAGTCATGGGGAGTGGCTGCAGCTCTCAGATCAGGCAGTGGTCACCCTGAAAATGGTTGTTTTTATGAGCAGTCATGGTGCCCAGTACTGTACTGGTGGACAAGTTGGGTAATGGCATTTTCAGGATGCACTTCTGGCACGTGGGAATGGTGCTTCTAGTGATGTTTGTGAAGAGGTGGAAGGCACAGGAAAACAGAAATGAGGCAAAAAGAACTGCACTTGGATCCTACAGTGATGGGTGAGTCCGAGCAATGACCACTTCTTCAGCATTCCCACCTTTTGCAAGAGATGCTTCACTTACCCATTTAAAAACACTCTTAAAATTTCTGTACAAGATATAATTTCCAGACAGGGAGCAGACTGAACCAGGACCAATCCAAGTAGTTGCAAGCCTAAGGATGGCAAGCTTGCCTTTCCATTGCCTCCACCTCCCTGACCAGGTCCCGCTATGCTCATACCATCTTCCCAGTGCACGGCTCTTCCCAGCCGTCTGTTTCTCCTCCTCAGTTGCTCCTGCCCTCCTGGCAATGTGCTCTTCCCTACTGCCCGGCCACCACTCCAGTGCTGCCCACCTCAACCCTCGCAGGGCCCCTGCTCCCAGCCACTGCTGCATCATGTCCCCACGGAGCAGAGCCACAACAGGGCTGGCATCAGTCCTCCAGCTTAGCGGGTCTCGCTGGCACCTTGAGCCCCGGCTGGATGCTCTTCCCTGCTCTTCCCAACATCCAGAACACAACCTGTTGATCCTACTTCTACAATTTCTTTGTGCTTCTGTTGTTTCTGCTGAAGGCTTTTACATTTTCAATAATGTTTCGCCAAAACGCTAAGGGGCAAGTTTCTAGCTTTGTACCGATTTTACTACGATATTAAGATCTCCTTTTATTAGATTAAAAACAAACAATGCAGCCAGCCAACCCACAAGGACAAGAGCGCCAGTAAATTCTTTTCTTAGTTTCTTGGGCAGGGGAGGAAGCCGCGTGCTGTGTGCTACAGACAGACAGCTATCAGACAGCTGCTGCTATCCACACCCCCCCGTAACACTTGCAACCAATTTTCCACCATGCAAGGTCCCTGCAGCGCCTGTTTAGATGGGAGAACGGAGGGGGCCTGCAGGGCAGTGACTCCAGCCCCCAACCTCGTGGCACACCATCTCTTTCATAAACTTACCCAACTCCATCTTAGAAGCAGCCAGGGCTTTTTGCACCCCAGCTCCTTCTGGAGCACTGTTGGTCTTCCTGAGATCATCACTGAGCACAGCCACAACTCTGCACATTACACACCTGCTGTTGGGAGGTTTAACAGCACACTGGGACAGGAGAGTCTGGAGGGGTGTGCCTTCTGGTTTGGGGCCAGGTTAGCCATTTTCTTGACAGTTCTCTTTTTGAACAGGAAACTGAAGTTCATTCTTAATAAATCTGGTCCCAGAGGCTTTAAGAGCAGCACCAAGTATTGTGGGACCTGTGGGACAGCCAGCAGCTGGGGTTGCGGCAAGCACCAGCAGAGCCCTCCACTCCTGAGCCCCACTGCCCAGCCAGCGCAGCGACGCCGCTTAAGTAAAACTATCACAACATTGCACTAAAAGTATTAATTTAAGTAATTACGTGATTAATATTTAACTGTTCAGTGATATTTTTGTCATTCATAATTTAGTTGTTTACATTTATTAAAAATTTATTCTGTAGACAGTTTTTCTGCCCAATGTCAAATCAGCTGGGAGTGCACATTTCAGCAAACTGTCATTAAAATGTGTCTCTCTCCGAATTTTATGGAAGGAGAGGGGAAGAAGAGAGAAACACCTGACCGTGAGTCCTGCAAGCATGTGGGGCTGTGCTCCACTCGGTGCCCTCTGCTATACCTGCCACTCTTCCATTCACCCTCCTGGTCCACTCAGTGCAAACGCACAGCGAAGCCAACACGAGCTCTGCCGCTCTCCCTCCATTTTATATGGTGGCTGTCAGTTGTACTTGGCTGTTGGGCCTTGCTGGGGAGCTGGAGGAGGAGGCGGCAGCTGCTCTGGGAAATGCCACAGA